CAAATGCATTAATGGAATCTATTGATTTTCATAGTTTTCCAGTAAAAATTGCTTCTATTCTATTTCGCATTTTTGTAAAATTGCAAACTGGAAATTATAAAATCGGATTCCGTTCTTTTCACCTAGATTCGTTCAAAACTCCCTAGATTTCTAGTTATTCTGTACGTAAATGGAATCTATTATTTTTCTCTTTATTCTGATTAATTTTACTAGCCATCTGACATGCTTCAAATGCATTAATGGAATCTATTGATTTTCATAGTTTTCCAGTAAAAATTGCTTCTATTCTATTTCGCATTTTTGTAAAATTGCAAACTGGAAATTATAAAATCGGATTCCGTTCTTTTCGCCCAGATTCGTCCAAAACTCCCTAGATTTCTAGTTATTCTGTACGTAAATGGAATCTATTATTTTTCTCTTTATTCTGATTAATTTTACTAGCCATCTGACATGCTTCAAATGCATTAATGGAATCTATTGATTTTCATAGTTTTCCAGTAAAAATTGCTTCTATTCTATTTCGCATTTTTGTAAAATTGCAAACTGGAAATTATAAAATCGGATTCCGTTCTTTTCGCCCAGATTCGTCCAAAACTCCCTAGATTTCTAGTTATTCTGTACGTAAATGGAATCTATTATTTTTCTCTTTATTCTATTTAATTTTTCTAGACGTCTAACATGCTTCAAATGCATTAATGGAATCTATTTATTTATAGAGTTTTCAAGTAAAAATTACTTCTATTCTATTTCCTGTTTTTCTATATTACTAGACAGTAATTGTTGTTTACCAGAATTCTATGGCAAAATAAATTTCCTAGAGCATCTAGTTGTAAAATACTAGATTTCTAATTCAAAAAATTGAAATTGCAAGAAAACTAATTAATTTTCCTTGAATTCACGTGAATTTCGTCACTAGAATTTGTCTAGTTGGAATTCACTCGCTAAAATTTTTAGTGTGTAAATGTCACGTTGTGTATGAAATATTAATGTTAAATTTTTTTTACGTATAAAAGTTATATTTAATGTAATTGTAAATCAGTCTGGTATATCGGAGCATTAGTACAACTTTGTGACAAATGTGATTTCATGTATAAAAAAATATGCACTGCTATTCTTTTCTAGAGTATAAAGTATACTCGAATTAACCCTAGTGTGTAAGTTTAAATAATTACTTTCGCATATATTTTTATTTATTGTGACAATTTATTGTTTGGCAATTGTTTTGTGAAAATACGTTAAACATTTCTGAAAAGGAACCGCATATTATTTATTTTATTATAGAACCAGTTAACATTGAAGTCATCTGTAATTTTTTATTTTGTAATTTCAATTTTTGCAGTTAAGGTGATTAAACTAATAGAGTATACGATTTTATTTTACATCAACGCAAATTTACCTTAAAATTCTTGTGTTTTGTTTTTGGAAAAATATATAAAATTTGATATCAAATTGCACATTGGTGCGGCATCTTAGAAGAAAGGTAGTAGTAGCATTTTGTTTTATTATAGTTCTATATATTGCTTCTTCTTCACATTATAACAAACTTATCTAAGACATTAACATCTTTCTCTTGATATTCCATATGATTGTGCTACAATTTTGTTAATGTATAAAATTTATGGAGACCTTAAGGTACTTGCGTTCACGTGTGGTCGTCTGATGGATTTCTAAAACCTACTAAATATTATTGTGTATACTAAAATATTTATTTTTTTCTGAATTCCATTTTCTATGAGTTGTGGTTTGATTCCAAAAATCTCTCGGAACGGAAATTGTATAGATCGCGTGGCGAATTACATTAAGGCAACCTTATTTATTTATGCTTATAAACAAATGTTGTAAATCATGTTTGTTTATAAATATTGCTAAATTTCTATCAGCCAGATTATAAAATTGTCATAATTTATTAGTAACGCAGTTAAGTCATATGAATTGTTTTGGTTTTATATTGTAGAACTGTCAAAAATTGCAGCTGTCGCGTTTGCGTTTTTCGCAGTATACTACTTTTACGAAAATCTTTATTATGATTTCAAATTGAATATTTTAATAATAATAATTAAATTTATAGGAACTTAAACTCTAAGAAATATTAAAATTCTTTACGAAAACAAAATGCCCGATTGAAGAATTTCTCTCTTAAAATATTCTCAATCACTCGAAATTTTTGTGTGCTATCTAAAATTTTTCTGAAATAGCCATTATGCCAATCTGATAACAATTATTTTCCCATGGGGGCGCATTACATAATATTTTTTCTCAAATTTTAATTATATCTTTATATTTATAATTAAATATTTAAATAAATTAGATAAGGTCGTTAGAACTAATATAATAAAATTAAAAAGATTATTAGCATAATTTTAAGAAATTCTTCAATTTGATTTGTTGGTTCTTTTGTTTTTTTTTTTTGTTTTCTTTAAGAATTAAATTAATTAAAGACAAAGGAGACACACAAAAAAAATAAACAAGAAAATATTCTATAAACTTGATTAATTACAAAGAAAGCTGGAATTAAAAACAAAAAAAAAATCTAAATCTAAATTCTAAACCTGATGTTTTATAATTTAATTTTTTTTTAAACATTTAAAAAATTTTAAATATTTTTTTGAATTCAATTCCCCTTACTAACACACACCCTCTTCTAACCTACATTTAATATTTTTTGCTTGTTTTGTGTCCTTCACACACTCTGTACAACTAGTCAAACAATTAAACATTTCGTTTGTTTTTTTTTTTTTGACATTTTATGGTAATAATGAAAAAGAGAATCCTATAATGACATAAGTGAAATTAATGAAAATTTCAAATTCTCAAAAAATCTTGTCTATGATTTTTGTATAAAATGATCTCAAATTTACGATATTAAAATCATTCTTAAACATACAGTTGAGAAGTTAAAAACATAATTATTAATTAATTAAAAAAAAAATGGTAATTAAAATTTAAAATTTAATTATTAAAATTAAAAAAAAAATTAATTATTCTAATTTTGTTTCTTTAATCGTAAACGCAATTATATTATAGATTAGAAATATTATTACATTCTGTTTGGTAGCTGTTGCTTTTGCAGCTGCACAACTTTCAAATGAATATTTACCACCATTACAAGATGTTGGTCATGATGTAGGCGGTAGTTTTGGTGGTGGTGTTGGCGGTGGTGTACAAAGTTTTGGAGGCGGTGGTGATGCCGGATTTGATATTGGATCAGCTGGTGGTAATGAAATTGAACCAGGACACAGTTTCTCACAAGATGATGGTTATCGTTATAAAACAGCTAGACGTCGTGTATTTAGAAATCGTCGTGTATTCAGAAATCGTCGTCGCCGTTATTAAATTAAAATTATCTCAGGGTGTTCAAATTTTATTTGAAAATTTTTTTCTTTCTATATACCTATTGTATATATGTAATATGTTTGTATATAAAAAAAAAAGAGAAGTGATACGTATATAAATTTTTGATTTTATTAAATAAAAGCATTTTTGTTTTTTGGTTAAAATTCAAAATAAAATTTGATTTTTTTTCAAAACAAAAAATTTTTTTTTTTTAATTTAACAATTTGTATATAATGTTACGTGAAAGTGTTATGGAAGTAAGTCTTACAAATTCAACTTTTATAATAAGTTCAAAATAAGCGATCATATTGGAATTAAATTTAAATTTGGAAATGCCGAAAATAGTTAAACAGTTAATAGAATTGCCAATTGTTTTTTTTAATAACACAATTTGTGGAAGTCGAGAATCTCGTCAAAAGGATTGAAAAAGTACAGATATTGGATTGCGTATTTAAAAATATATTATAAAATATGGCAAATAACTTAAAAATTAACACAGAATCCTTTTAAAACTGCAGAAAACTCTCCTGTTCTCAGCAGTTTAGTGTGAATGGCTTTATTACTTTAATTATTAGATTCTTACGCCTTCAACAAGTCAGTTTCTTACTTTAAATAGTTTTGAATTTCTATTCACGCTTAATGACTACATCGCTCAAGTATATAAGTATTCATTTAAAGTATTTCAGATATTTGAGTAATAATGACTTTGAGTTTAATTCAAACATGAAGAAACAGAGACTGGTCTAACATATTACTGTTTATTTAATTCCGCACAATATCCAAAAATAGGATATTTGGATTAGTAAAACGTTCTAAAAAAAATTGGAATACCATAATTTATGTACATATGTGTAATTAAATAAAGAGTTTTGCTATAATTTTTACACGGTAACACTAACATAATAATAATTTATAAAATATTATTATTTGACAAATGAATTTATGCATTATTTATGCAGAATTTCTGTTATAATTGTGAATTAAACAATAATTATACAGAAATATTACAGATAATTAAAAAATTTACGAATGGAATCAATTTAATTACATGATTCTTGTAATTGCATTCAACATGAAAATAAGAGAGCGTCCGGCTTTAAATATTAATGTCATTCTCAAAAATTTGAAGTGACAGGAAGCGAGAGAGAACGACAGGGAGTAGTAATATCTCGAAAATTTAATGAGTAATTTGTATTTAAGGTGACAATTTTAAAGTGACAATTTTAACAGAACAGAACAGGGAGTCCGAGTAAAAATCTGAAAATAAATAACAATAAACATAGTACAACAAAAAACAACAACAAAAAATTTTTTTTTGAACCAAAAATCATTTATAATTTTTTCAAATATTCCAAAATCATGTCCTTATTTTATAAACGTTGATCACAACATTTTTTTTTTTAAATTAATATTTTTTTTTTTTCAACAATCAATTTTTCTCTAATTTTTTTTTTTTTTCAAAAACAAAAATTTAAAAATTACAATACAAATAAAAAAAAAAAAAACAAAACTTAAAAATTTTTTAAACCCTCGTTTGTTTTTTAATGCGACATATTAAATTCCCATCTCGTCCCGTTTTGTCCCTTCACGTTCCGTCTCGTCCCGTCCAAAAAAAGTTCTATTCTATCGCGATATTAATACAATAAATTTTCTTTGCGTTTAATAACGACGTCTGGCTCTGTATGCACGAGCTCTGTAGACGCGACGTCTGGCAGTCTTGTAACGGTAACCTTCATCTTGTGAGAATGAATGTGCTGGTTCAACATCAACATGATTGCTTACGGGTGGTAAATATTCATTAACTGGTTCAGCAACATGAACTGGTGCTGGTGCTGGTGCAGCAAAATGTTGTACTTCATGATGTTCTTGTACTGGTGGTAAATATTCATTTGATATTTGTGCAGCAGCAACAGCTACCAAACAGAAAGCAATTACGAATTTGTACTGAAAAAATAACATAGAATTAAGAAAAAATAAAATTATTTAATATAGAAAAAAAAATTTAAAACAAAATTTTTTTTTTACCATTTTGAATTTATTTTTTTTTCTGTTATGTTGTGTAGTGTAAACACTAGAACTCAACGTTTAAGAATGATTCTTAAGTGAATTTTTTCATTCAATTTATACCCTTTGAAAATTATTATTCAAAAAAAAATTTTTTATATTTTTAAATTAAATTTATTCCTAAATACAGAAAAAAAAAATTTTTATGTTATAAGCCTTAAAATACTTAAGAACTAAATATTTAAATTAAAGAAATCTTTTCAAAAAATCGAAATAAATTCATCGCGCGCTTCTTTTTTTTTTTTTTAATTACCTATAAATAAAATTCCATTATAACAATAAGAAATCAACTATAAAAATATAAAAAAATCAATAACCCCCATTAGTTTTTATAAATGAAAATTAACATTTTATAGTAAACGATCATTAGAATATTAAAGAAATATTTTAAAAGAAAAAGAATCTGTTAAAATCAAAAGTAGAAAAAGTAAAAGCAAAATTAAGTATTTTAATTAATTCTATATAAAAAATATTTTAAAATCATTTTAAACTTGACTTACTAGCTTCATTTATAATAATATTTACACTTTTACTTTAATATTATATTTATATTAAGTACAGTAGGGTTAAAGTTATAGGAACAAACGCTCTACTACAATTGAGTAGTTCGAGTAGTTCTTTTAATAAATAGAACTACTCGACAAAATATAATTTTTTACTCTCATTTGTTCTGTTTTGCTCTCATTTTTTTGCTCTCGACATTTTCAACTTGTATACCAATATTGTATACGCCTGCTTAATTGAAATTTTTTTTATTATCATTTCGCTTTAGGGAACATTTATTATTTGAATATGACGCTTTGCGATGAATTTCAAAAAGTATAAAAAACTTCTTTATCAATATCTTGTTCTCTATTTAAGTTTTCTGTTAATATTTTCCTCGCCTTTTTGAGTTTATTTCAAAGTGGTTGCCAGTCGTGTACAGATGGAATAAAGACTTAAGTTTTTGCTATAAAATAAGAGATAAAGGAACCTTAATTATTCTCAATTCAGATAATATAGGGAGAGCATTGAAAAAATCTATGTAAGCTATGCCATTAACTGTTGTGGAATGAAGTTTTCGAAATATTTCTTATGCTGTTAATAAAAGTGATTGAATTTTAATTTCATCTTTTTCTTCATGGGGCCAATTTCCTCATTTCTTGCCAAAATTTAATGTTAACTAATTTTAAGAGATTTTGTCAAAATTTTTAACGCATAACTACGCATATTCGTGAATTTACTGTAAATTAAATACATACATATAACCATAGATAATAAATAAGTAACTATTATGATTATATGTTTATATTTATGTATGTGTGTATATATGTAGAAAATTTGTGGTCTATTTTATTTTCGCATTTTTACTATCACATTATTATTATTTAGTTAATGTTATTAAAACCGGAATATTTTTTTTTTGTTCTTCTGTTCTATTATTTAATTTTTATTATTATAAACTTGCCACTTTTAAAATATCGAAGCATATATGGAAATAAATTTAAAAAATCTTATAAAAATTAATAATAACACGCTTACATAACACCCAAATTAAAAAAAATCATCAGACTAAAAAAGCATTTTAATTCTTTTCTGGGCAAGGAAAAAAAAATTTCGCATTTCTTTGCAATATTTTCAGATTTTATTTCCTCTTCATTCTTTTATATATTTTTAAAATAATTTATAACAGATTATTAAAATTTTTTGATTAAAATTAACATATATAAGCTACAATTTTAAAGCTTTGGAGGAGACTCTATATGAGTAAGAGTTAAGTGCGCTATTGCAATTAATTAATCAAAAAATTTGCAAAATTTCTGTTGCAGTAAGAATTGTAACATTAATAAATTAACACACTTAAAAAAATGCGGATTAATTTGCAAATTTTCGCAATCATGAGATAAATTTATAAAATGCAAAAATAAATACGAAATTATTTTTAATTAAAAATTAGAATTTTTGTAAAATAATTGCTTAATAATCGAAAGTAATAAAATTCCTGCAAGTTTCTGCTGTCAAATTTTTAAAGAAGAGATGACAAATTTTAATTACATTATAGCTGTGCAATTCAATGTTTACTTGTTTTCTTCTGATCTCAATTTTGTAATTAAATTTTCTCATATTTTTTCATTTTGCAATCCCATATTTTCTCAGTTATTGTCTTGAATTCTCTTACAATTTAAGAACCTAAGAAATCAAAAGTACTTTATTTAAGTACTTTTAACTCATCTTATGAAATAAAAGTGTTTACACAAAAGGGCAAAATTTAAAAACAATAGCATTTTGAGAGTGTCATTTTTAGACAATATATTTATGTATTTTGACATACATACAAGTATGTTTGTATATAATTATCAATATTTTTATATATTTTATAAAATATTATTTTTTATTGGACTTTCTTTTTTGTTTTAAAAATTAATATACATATATGTAGCTCATTAATTTTATGGTGTTTTTTACGCAGTAGGTGCGTTATTTTATTTTAAGGTTTTATTATTATTGTTCAAAAAAGAAATAAGGTTTTATTATATTAATAAATTAATTTTTTATTACATTATATAGAAATTAATTAAAATCGAAAAAAAATATGATAGATAATCTTGATTTCTACAAAATTTTAAAAATTTGAATAAAAATTCAAAAAAAAATATTTAATATCAAAAAGTTAATGAACGGAAGCGAAAATAATAAAATTTCCAATTTCTTTTATATTGTTTATATTTTGTTTATTGTTTATATTGTTCATGTTTATTAATTAATTTAATATAATATAATAAAATTAAATAAAAAAAAATATAAATATTCGTTTTTTTGGGGTCTTTGTTCGATAATTTCATCATTTATTTATGACATCCTTTGATTTTTCTGTCAAATATCAAGATAATGTTTATAATATAATGTTTGACGTAAAAAAAATAGTAAGAAATTTTTGATTATTTTTTGATAATAAAAGAATATTCATAAAGGTTAAAGTATTTTGAAATATTTAAATTTTAATTGTGCTATTTATGAATTTGACAGTTTAAAAATTCTTAGTGCACCAAGAATTTGAATTAGTGCACTTATAAAAATTGAAAGCGTCATTCTTTCACCAATTAAGGAGAAAATGAGTGAGTTTCACATTTGTTTACAATATAATACAATTTTTAATTCAGTACATATCTCGATATTCCGCAAATAATACAGAAATACATATAGTCACCATTCAGTTTTATACTTTGTTTTGACAAATTATAATATTGACTATATCATTTATGTATAATATATTAAGTACAATAAATGAGAAAATCCAGTCAAAATGAGAATAATTAGTAGTCACATGAAAAAAATGTACATAATTTCATAAAAAGTAATTAAAATTTTAATTTGACATTGACAAAGAGTAATTATCAAATTTATAACATAAAAATTCTCAATTTATTATATTTTGTACTCAACTATTTTGTTACAGTACAATTTTATTGTTATGCACATTTAAAATTATCACGCAACTTAAAATCACTATTAATAATATTCTCATTTGTTATTTATCATAACAATATTTAAAATGTAAATTAATTACTCGTTTCTGAATTAAAGTTAATTCTAAATATTACCAGTTGATTTTTTAATGTTAATGTACAATATGTAAAAATAAAAAACATAATTAAATAAAAAGATGTTGTAATTCTGTATCATAATAGTGTCACAACAACACAACATAAATATGTTTATGTATACAGAGATAAAGTGAAAATACAAAACAAAATAAAATAATAACAAGAATAACACATTAAAAATAACACCACATATGTTTATACATATAACATGTTAATATGTATATATATAGAATGAAAAGCTGTTAAACAACCCAATATATAAATTGAATGAAAGGAGCAAAAAAATTCTCACGCGAATTTATAAAATTTGCATAAAAGCTTCTAATTATTATTGTTAAAATTTTTGTTGTTTTTTTTTTTTTGTTTGCTTTCATTGATATTTTGATAAATGGTGTCGGGTGTCGGTGAATCTTTATTTTTTTTATTGATTTTTATAAAAACTTAAAGAGATCACCCCTCTTTCACCACCAAAACAAATCTACTCTATTTATTTCTCTATCCTCTTCAAAAATTTTATTGTATAATTTCTAACTCGTTTTTATTATATTTTTGCTATGATTAACAGATGCCGGCCGGTTAGATTATATTAAATAATGTAGAAAAAATTAAGTACAAATTTCAATATAATCGCGATTTCTTTTTAATATGAATTTAATTGTTAATTTTAAATGCAGATTTTTTTTTTTAAGAGAATTATTTTTTTTTTGAATTGTATGATGCAATATAGATAGTTTTCTTAATGAAAAAAATTTCGATTTTAAAAATGATGACAGAATGAAAGAATGACAGAATTCTGACATATTTTCCAGTCAAGTGAAATTCTTTAGAATCGGAAATTGCTTTTCAATTAATATTAGAAATTGTTTTCATTATAATTGAATTAGAATTAAGCATGTACCTTATATTTAATTAGGATATACAAAATTTGGTTAAAATTAGACGTAAGAGACTTTAATTATTATTGTCCATTAAAATTATTATTTGGCAAGAAAATTGTATTCTTCTAAATAAGAAATATTTTCTTTCTTATAAATAAGAAATATTTTTCATCCTTGCAATTACTGAGTATAATGTCCAAATTTATTAAAATCAATAATCGCAAATTTCAATTTAGAATTATCATAATAAAAGTACTATAATTTTAATTGCAACTAGCTAAACTAGTCTTATTAATTGAATTGGATTTAAATTTGTAAAATATTTGTTCAGTCCATCTCCTCCTCCCTCTGGTTTTGACACCTTTTCCAAATTAGATTAATGAATTTGCAATAACTCATAAATCATATTGTGGTATAAAAATTTTGCATATCCTCTAGGCGCAATTGATTTTCTCTAAATTATTAATATTCCTTTTATCAGCTTTTTTTTCGAATTTGGCATGATAATTAATTAAATATTTTATTATTAAATTTCTTTATTATGAATTTTGATTCAAAGAGACACGTGTTTTCAAGTTTCTGCTGTCACATTCAATACTCTCCTGTTAATCATTTTCTTTTAGATGGAATTTCTTATTCTCTCCTGATTGTGTTCAACCAATAATATAAAAGTTTTCATTAATTAATTGTTGAATATATTGAAAATACTAAATTTCAAATTAAATGATCAAAAAAAATTGTGGAAAAATAAAAAAGAAACATCACTTAAATTATAATTAAAAATACAAAAAATTCAAATAAATTTCTCACGAAACTTCCTTAAATTTTTAAAATTCTTTTAAATTAAAATTAAACAAGAAAAATTACATATATACAAAATTAATTAATTTCCCGTTTTATTTTTTTTTTTTGTTCATTTCAGGTGAGGAAGCAATAAAATTAACACAAAACACATGTTATTTAATAAGTATGTATTTCACTTTCAAATTACTCACTCATTAAATTATAATCACATTATATTCTATAATGTTATACTATATTATATACATATAACACAATATTATATAAGTGCATTTTAACCAAATCTATTCTAAAGTTTAAAATAAAAATTCTGATTTTTTTCTATAGTACATTTTTTATTTATTTTTTTGACATGAATTTCCCATTAAATAGCCACGCGTCACCGTAAACTTTTTATAACAATATATAAAAGAAAAATAATAATTTAAAAAAAATAAAAATTAAAAAAAAAAACATATGTTTTAAATTACAAAATTTATTACCAATAAAATATTATAAGAATTTTTTTTTAGAAAAAAGAAAAATAGAAAACCCAAAATTATGATCCATTAACGTTATTTAAAAATTTAATGAATTTTAAATGATAATTTTTCGAATTTAATAGTATATAAGTATATTGTTATAACATGATAACATTTTTTGTTATACAAGACCATGTGACATAAGGATGTTTTCCAAAAATATACAAACGGTAAAAAATTATATAAAAGAATTGTTTTTAATCGTAACACGTCACCATTTTTTAAAGAAGAAATTACGGAAATAAAGATTTCTAAATTTACAGATAAGATAAGATTTATACCCATATAAAAAAGAGTACAGTTTATAACTTCTTAAGAATTAAAAATCTATTTGCGGGTAAATTACTTGTTTAACAACTTTCTGTAACATCTTTATTAGAATTAACACCCACTCAATACTACAAAAAGAAATTCATAGTATACTTATGAAAACACATTGTTCGAAAATAGTACAAATTTCTTTTTTAGTACATTTATTATGTAAGCCGTAAATGTCAGAGATCTTAGCCGTTTTTTTGAGGAGTTTGGGTTGGTTATAACGAGAAACGAGAAAGAAGAGATCTTACGGTATCACAACGAACCGAAGTAGCTTAGGTGTATCCTTTGAGGAGTCGCATCAACCATAACATTTTATAAACATTATGTTAGAACGTAAACACAGTTTTTTATTTTCTATAAATGTATTCAAATATAACATCAAAACACAAATGATTGTCAAATATCTTTAATTTAAATACATGAAAAAAAAAGTGACAGTATTTATTATCAATTACTGCCTTAACATTAATATAAATTTTCTTTCTGTACAAGTAAATTTAATTTTTGACATAAATAACATAAAATTTAAAGTATATAGCAATATTTTAAATTTTTAGTATTTTTTAAATTGAAAGTCACAATTGTAGAATCCTTAGAATTGTAGTAAAATTACATCACTTTTTCAAACAAAATATAAAATTCTATCGAAATTTTGTATATACATCAAAAAATAAGGAAATAATTGCCAAAAGTGGAAACACTTATATTAGTATGTTACTCAAGACAATTTACGATATCAAAAAATATGCCAATAATTTCATAATTAATCTTCATATTCAACAAATTAATTCGACTATTAAAATTTTTGATTTTATATAATATCAATTAAATTTAAAAAAAAATCTTAAATTAAATTTAAAATTTAAAAATAAAGCTTTTATTTTATATTTTAATCTATTTTAAAATAATAAAAAATAAAACACAAAAATAAAGGCGATTATAATTTTCTAATTCAATTATTGGTCTTTTCTTTGAATACTTAACTTAAAGAAACCTTTAAAATTATTAAAAATATAAACAATAAATAAAGTTGTTGGACATACTCAAAGAATCTACGATATAAGCTATACTTAAATAATATAATGATGCTGATTATATTAAATATTCTAAACATTTATTATAACTAAATTCAAAATTTCATATTCAAATCCAAATTTTAATAATAATTTTTTTTATTTAAACACATTTTAATAATTCCAATTAACACACTAATATAGAATTTAATTCCCAAAAATTTAAAAGAAAATATCGTAAAAAACGAAGACATTAATCCTTATAAATTGGACAATAATTTACATATATATATACTCGTGATACGAGTATATAGGAATAGATATATGGGTGTATGAATATTATATGGTACCCCTATTATAGACTCACACATAAAGAAAAATAAATTTTTTTTAAATTTAATTAATTCAAATTGAAATTGAAATGACTACATAAAATAAAATGTTCATTTAATATAGAAAATATTATGTTCTACATAGGTGAATATAAAAAGGATAAAAAAATGTTGAACAAGAACAGGTTAATTTTAAAATTATCATCGGATTAAAAATCATATAAAAAATATTATTAAAAATTGGAGAAAAAAAAACTAGATTAAAAAAATTCTGAAATATTATCAAAAATTTTTATAATTTTTTGTTCCGATATTTTGATAAATGACCTATAACATAATAATATTTGTTTTTTTTCATTATTATTATTTTTATACCTGAATTGCCATTTATGTAGAGTATATTTTTATGTATTTTCTTTGTTATTCAAATTTTAATTTATAATTCTATTTAGAATTTACAAAACATTTTTTTCTTCTTTTATAATTATTAATTTATAATGGATTAAATTTTTTAATATTTTAACAAATTGTTATTTAGTTGTGATCAAAAAAAAAAAATTAATTTATTCCTATTTTTATTTTTTCATTCATAAATTAGTGCATTTAGTATTTTGAAAATTTTAAATAAAAATTTTAAATTAAGCCGATAATTAAATGATAATATATCCAAGTCCATTTTCAATTTCAGAATTTGCAATTTCCAAAACAATAAAATTTATGTTAATCTTATGCAAATAATTAGTTAATCGAATTTTCAGTTACTTTAAGTTAAAATAGAGCAATATTTCATTTTTAATTGAAATGGACTTAGGCTATATTTTCGAAATAAACTATCAAATTATGTACGTTTTAGTATAATATTATTAATACAAGATGTACTTCACTAAATTAATTTCAATTTAATCTACCTTTATTCCTGTAGTTTGCTTATATATTCAAGAGATAATGCAAGCTGCATTTATATAAATGCCTCTTAAAACAAGTACAATTCTGGTTAAAATTCTATTACAAATAAAGTTTTTGAACAAGTACTTATATTACATTGCACATGTATTGTAAATTTATTTTGTCGTAATAATTTTACAATTATTAGTAATAAAGTCAATTTACTATATTATTCTAACAGAAAAATTATCATTTTTAAATGTACATGTACCATAAGAGCAAATATAAATATGAGAAATTAAAAGTATTAATAATAATAATAATAATACGGCAGTAAAATAGAATATTCTCTCAATATTACGCACTTTTTTACAATTTCTTTTCCTTTAATATATAAAATTTTCACTTGCAATTTATTATTACTGCCTAGACAATAGTATCATTGTTTAACAATGAGAGAGTATGAACAATGAGCGAAAGTTCATCAGAAACAAATCAAGACGATTTTGTACGTGTTTTTTTTTATGAAAATTTTTTTATTATTATTATCATGTCATAATTATTGGAGTGAATAGTCTAGTGTTATTGAAATAAACAGTAAATTTTCTCAATTATAAGTTAAGTAAATTATTTAATAAAAGTTTATTAGTAAATCATGTATCTGTATATTGTTTCAATGATATTCAATTAACAGAAAATATAGAAAAATTTAGGCAAGATTTTAAGAGAATATTATTTAGACTAGATTTACACATCATAATAATGTTTGATAATTACTGTCAAACAAAATTTATGAACAGTGTTTGATGTGCAAACGATAAGAATTGTACGGAAAAATAGAATTTTATACTATCTGCGTATATAGACATTATTAATATTGAACTAAAATTATTTTTTTAATATTTTTAATGTTATCACTGTTATAGCTTTATATACATATGATTGAGTATATGATGTATGTATAGTTTTTATGCTGTCACAGAACAGTGTTATTCTAATTGTTATGTTAATCCCTATTAATAATTAAAAATTTTCGCAAATGTTGAATATTGCAAAAAAAATTTTTTTTGTTTTTAATATTTTAAATTTAAATAGGAAATAAATTAATATGCGTGTACGTATATGCTATTTTTATAGATGGTCGTTATAAACTAATATAAATATTAATATTTTACTATTGTTTTAATTATATACATATATACATAAATATATAAAAAATTTTCAATAGCGAACAATCGAAATTAATTGTGTATAGTATTTTTGATGTGAAATTTTTTTCGTTCTTATTTTATTTTTTCCACTATAATTTTATGGAATTCCATTAATAAACATAGTTAATATAATAGTTGAATTATATAGAATAGTTTATTTTTGAAAACAATGAAAAAAGAATTTAATAGCTATTATAAATAAAACATTTCAATTTTAATAACAATATTAATTTTGTGCCTATTTTTATGCAAATTTTTAAATTTTTTTCGTAAGTATTTATATAAATATTTAAAAAATTATTCATATATCCGGACATATTTATATATACATACATGTACATTTTAAAGCAAAATTTGTCATATTTACCATTTAAGGTGAATAATTTTCCATATACAACTATTTAGCACATTCATGAAATTAATTATATATACCATATATGAGTAAAAATTTCTACTTTCCCAGCACATTATCCATTTGACGATTGTATGTATCGCATCAATGACTTTCATTTGCAAATAACATACAAAGCAACTATTGTCAACTGATATTTTGGAATTTATAAATAAATATCTCCTTTTTTTTACCTGTCCTCCTTTCTTCATCAAAATCTATCATTTTTAGCAATTAATTTTTGTGAATGCATTAACACATGAATAAATGCAAAAAATGCTGGGATTCATGACGCTAGCGTCGAAAAGTATTAAAATTCATGACCTTTGCAAATTGTGTACAAATAACGTTCTCAGAAAGTACTATCATTAACGCAATGGGAATTTTTCTCTTTCTTTTTTTTCCCTGAATAAAAAATTCTGGACAACTAATTTATATTTTTCAAAAATTAAGAACAGGTATAATTTATCATCTTTGTTTAAAAAATATTTATATATTTCCTATTAATCTTTTCAAATCACTCAATTAATATTTTGATTTTTAAATATTAATTATTATAATACATAATATGAATGATGATAAAATAAACATGAACAATTATAATATTTATTATAAGATTAATAATTTTAATATTTTGATGACAGCTCACTAGGTGTCACTATTATAGATAATTATAAATTTTGTGTACTCATTAAGCAAAAACTAGTTTTCAAATTGAGTAAAAATATATTATAGATTTTATTTCTATTTCTATTTTTTTATATATAAGTAATTAATTAAATTAAAATGCTTTTCTATGAATATTAAAGAAATAATTAGTAAAATACTACCAGTTTTTTATATTTGTGTCAACATATTTAATTAAGAATTTTTTATTTATCTATTTTTTTTTGAGAAATTCTATTTTATATATTTTTAATTAAATAATAAATAAGAAAAAAATAAATAAATCGTGTAAAATAAAATATAATTAATATTATTTAATTAGAAGTCAATTAATTTAAATAAAAATGAATTTTTTGTTTTCTTTTCTTTAAAAAAATTAAAAGAACAACTTTATTTTTAAAAGAAATAAGATAAAAATCTTTGTCTCAAAAAATTAATTTTCAATTTTGACATTGTCTGTCTCTTATTTTAATTTTAAGCTGACATTAAAAGCATTTAAAACAATAAAGCTGACATTTTTTTTCTTTTCTCTTTCAAATTTTTATTGAATACCAAGACTGTCATCACCAATATACACAGACAATAAATTACAAAATGTAAATTAATATTTTGAAATGTTTACTTATTTTATGTAATTAATTTCTTTATTGAAAACTAAACAAACAAAAAATAGCAATTAGTTTTCTCTCACTTCATTTTTTTTTCAATATTGTCAATTTGTTATTAATTTATCATCACTTTTTTTTTCATCATTTACTGGCGAAAACAACATGGCTAATAATTCAATTAATAAGTATATTCAAAATGGTGATATTTATTTGTTGGTGGTGAAGAATTAGATAAGCCTTCACCACATTCACCGCATTTTTGTTAAATTCTTGTTAAAAATTATTTTAAAATTATTATTAATTTTCTGCCATTTACTTTTTAATTATTTAAATATTATATTTCAATTTAAATCTATAACAATACGTGTTTCAATATACATATCGAAAATCATACTTTAAAAAGCACGCGCCATCTTTATTTTTAACATGATAATTATTCACTTATATTAAATGATGATTATGTCAAAATCTCAAATGAGAGCAAAAACAATTTTACTGCTTTAGTATTTACTCCTTTTTTTGAAAATTTTACGTATTATAACAAAACAACTGTATAAGTGTTCATCCTGACGAAACAAACATTTTCTGTCAAAAATTTTTCAAACTTGCAAATTTAAATGACAGCTACCGAAATACACATTGTATTGTAGGACCAGCTTTTAAAATTTAAAAACATCAGACAAGGCGTGCAAAAATTTGTTGTTCCACTTTTATTTTCTTTTCCCCTCTTGCTTCTATTATTTTTTGATTGTCATTAATAAATGACAGCTAGACGTTCGTATTAATTTTAGCCTATTAACTACTACGTCGAACGTTGTCGTTTAAGTTGGGCACCAAATATAAAATCTGTTATTTTTTTATTTTGTGCTTATCTCTTTTCTAATTAATTCTAATTTTAGAATATAAAACTTAAATTTCTTTTAAAATTCTACAAAATATTTTCCATATTTACAAAATGAATCTATTTTTAGAAAAATTTTTGATTAATTTTATATAAAAATCATAATCAGAATTTTTTATTTTATTTTGTAATTTTCAAGGTTAAAATTTTAATTTATTACAGAGAAAATTAAAGTATATAAATTATTAAAATCAATTTGAGATTTTTACAGCAACGCATATAATTAAAAGGTTTTAAATGAAAAATGTTATACGAATGTATGTATATACAGTAGCATGCTACTACAATATATAAGTAAACAAAAATTTTACATAACCTAAGTCAAAGTTATTTATTTCCTTAATATATAATAAAACAAAATCATATAACAATTAAATATTTTTGTTACTCTTTATATAATAAATTGAAAAATAATATTAAAAATGGTAAAAAATTTTTATATAAATATTTTATTTGTTGAAAAAAATTTTTTTTTTAATTAATTATAGTTAAAAGGATTAATAAAAAATTAAATTTAATCAAAAATGCAAATTAAATATAAAAATCCCTCATTAAAAATTCTATATAACGGCATTAAAAGGAAACTTGTATTTCCTTTTTGTTTTTGTTTGTACTCTTTTCATCTCTATTTTTTTGCTCTTTAAATTTTTTGTTACTTCTAAAAGTGTTAAGATCAATAACAATATGTATATGTATAACAGTATAACAGTATAGCAGTATGCTGTTATACAATAGAGTAAATTTAATCTATTTTCAATAAATAAAACAATTAATTATCATTGATTATAGTTAACACGATTAAATATAAAAAAAAAATTTCACTCATTATTCCGGAATACGTTAATCTAATTGCACAAAATTTGTAAGAACTAGAAAGCAAGATTTTTTGCCATTCAAAAATACTATGTAGAATACGAGTAAAATGGCTAAAATGTATTGGTTTAATTTCAAAACGTAGAAAACTCTGTAATCTAGGTTTATTGATATAGGTTTAGGCTTGGCGGTATAGGTTTAAGTTTAGCGTTTGAATAGAAATTTCATTTGAATAGCGTCAACACGTCACAGCTTTATATATTTTAGTTGTTAGTTATATATTAATTCGAGACTCCACATTCTAGTCAAATATTTTGCTAATTTTACCCAAAATTTGCCGAGTACATGTTTGATGTTGTTTTGCAAAACTGCAATCGATGTCTCATTTTCAATATAAAAAAGCGAATATTTCATGGGACATCTTTTCACTTTTACATAGTCACAGCAGCAAATTGTCTGTCAACAATATCGCCATGTTCAAAACGGCAAATTTATTGTTCACCGAATACTTTCTTAATAAAAATTTTATTCAAATATGACACAACAAAAACCAAACTGAATCGATATCCTTTTGAAAACCTCACTGAATTACATATGACAAGTGTCAAAAATAGAATCAAACAACCAAAAAAATCACCCGTTATTTGAAATACATATCGAAATTGAATTTAAATTTAAAATGTTTGGATTGTGTTTGAAGACTAACTCAGTTCCAGTGAAAATCGTGTTTAGATCTAACTCAGTTCCAACATTGATTCAAATAATTGAATATCTAGGAATTTCATAAGAAAAATGATGATTGATCACGGAATTATAAATTTTTTTTTTTTTACTGGGATATGCAAAATTTATCACTCAAGTAGAAGAAAAAAAATGAGACACAATGGAAATTTTTTTTTATTTTAGAATATTTTAAATAAAATCATTAATATTATTTTTATTTTTTTTTTGGTCGGTTTTCTGTTAAATTATGGTGAACTGATTAAAAATGATTAAAATCGAAAAAAATTTTTTTTTAAAAAATTTGCATAAAATTTCAAGGTTGCCATTTTTTCTCTCTTGTTTAATTTTTTTTTCTTAAATGAAAAATGATGATGACAGTGTTTGAATTTGAGAGCTGATTTCAATTTTCTGTTTTGTTCTTTTGTACTGGTTTGAGTAGACAAAATGTCTACAATAATTAAATTATGATTTTAAACTTTTTATTCACAATATTTTTGTTTATTTTTATTCATTTATTAAATTCAGAAATTTTGTTTGTTTGTTTGCTATAAAAGAAAAAAATTTTTTTAATATGATCTAATTTTGAATTTCAATATGAAAATATTAATATTTTTTTTTAAACTAAAAGCACTATAAAGAGAAAACTATATTAAATGCGAAAGAAAGAAAAAAAAACAAGAGAACAATATAGGTAATTTTCTCTCTTTTTTTGTTAAAATTTATAAATTGAGAATTTGAGGCTACTTTCATTTAAATATAAGGACATATGAAAGTAGATGAGTCATAGATTAGTTTCATAGTTGATTTTTGTTATTTGAAAAACATATAAATTAGTCTAATATTTCGGCGTTCAATTATAACGAACTATATACTTCTACAATATTTCTAAATTTAAAATCAAAACAGATACGACCCTTTGAGTTCCTACTTAATTTCCAACTCTTCCGCTGTTAAAACAAAGTCTTCCAGGTATTTGGTTCTTCTGTGAATTGCCAGCATTTCTACCAATATAATCCATATTGTGATGAGGAATATTGAAAAGCTGACCTAAAGTTATCCAAATTTTTTTCGAATAATGTTGACAAATAAAAACAACAAAACTTATTTCTCGAAAGTGCTGCGTTCCTAAATCTATCAATAGTCTGTTTTCATATGGTATATCAGCTAGTATATTAATTAAGAAAACCATTTTAATTAAATTTAATTTTACTAAAAATCTGAAATAAAAATTAAGAACGTATCCCGTAATTCCAAATTAGCCTGAAATCAAACGTTCTTTCTTCATTGAAGTACATGTGTACCTAAAAATTTACTGTTTATTTTAATCTCAAGTTAAAATGAAAACAAAACTCTCTCTCATATAACCTTTATAATATTAAGTATGAAAATTACTTTGTATAAGCAATACCTTCACCGTCTCGAACTACTACAATAAACATCTAATAATTTTAGAATTTTTGTTAGTTTTTACTAGTTTTGAACTAGTTTTAACTAAAATTTAAATAATAAAAAAAAGTGAATTTAATAAAAAAAAAGTATTTTAAGCATTTTTTTTTTCGAATGCAGAATTTAAATTAAAAAATATATGAAATCGAAAAAATATTGAAAATTTTGTGAGATTTCTCTAGAGATGATCGAAAAGAATATTTGAGGATTTCAAATGTCCTGCAATAATTATAGCAGTAAATATAAAGTAATATGAAGAACAAATTTGCCGGTAATATCTTCAAAACTCTGTAGCTCATTTGGTAAGCGTCCGTTTGGTAAGAAATCGGTAATTCACTGGTTTGAGTTCAGTTCAAATGAAGAATTTTTTTAATTTTTCTGTCTTCCCTCTCGCAATCGTTAAATCAAAAACTTCAATTTTCAAATTAAAAATTTTCATATTTTTAAATTAAAAACGAACATTTTATCAAATTAGAAAGTAAAATTTTTAAACTAAAAGTTCATGTTTTTAAGAATATTCTTTCAAAATTAAAAACTACTCTTTTTTGTATTAAATATTCATGCTTTTTAGATCAAAAACCCATATTTGTTATATAAATTGTTTTACTACTTATTTACTCATTTTCACTACGTATTCATTTACTCTCGACTCTCGAAAAATGCAACAAATGCCTAATTCAAAATTCACTACTAATACCAAAGACAGTTAATTGTTAAGAGTAAAAATGAAAATTAAATTAGTATGATTATAACTGGTTAACTACTTAAGTATTAATTCCGATTATTTTGATTATTTTAAAAAATATTACCGTATAAAAATAAATTTCTATACAGCACAACCCTGAATTAAATAAAAATTATTAGATAAAATTTAAAATAAATTTTAATGTTATCGGTTAAAATCTTTTTCAACAATTTTTTTTCTGCTTTTTTAATATTCTAAATTTTTGCATATTTTTATTAACAAAAAAAATATTGTTATGAAATTTTTTTTTTTGAAAGCGCGATGTTTTGCTTGATTTTATACTTTTGCGATAAAAATCAAGGAACTACAGTTTTTAGTAGTTGAAAATAATTCATAGTTTTCTGTTTCTATTTTTATTTTTCTTCATATTTGTAAAACATGTTCCGGATTTAAATATAATTAAGGACTTGATTAACGTAATAAATTTAAAATACAAAAAAAAACAGAAAAATTATGAATTAAGATTGCAAAGGCAGAGCAAAAAAAAAAGTAGAGTGTGGTTTATTAGACAAAATGGAATATTAATGTAAATAACAAAAAAAAAAAAAAAAATTAAAAATTTAAATCCAACAAGTTTACCAGGTAATCCAAGGATTAAAATTACTGAAAGTATTATGGGTTTTTTTCAAAATTGAGTTTTTTTTAATTTTTGACAAGAGTAATTTGAGATTATACAAAGCATTTTAACGTTGACATTTTATAAATTTTTATATTAAATAAATAATTTCAGATTTTGAAAATAAGATGTCGCTATAAATAATCTGTTATGCTTTTCAAAATATTTCAAACAAAATTAATGACAAGACAATGTTTAAGTTTCTTTTATGTAAGAAGAGTACATATTTGAAGGGAAATAAATACTTGAAGAGGGAATAATTACTTTTAGCTCAACATATTTTTTTTTTTCATTGAAGATAAATATGGGTATAAGAATTTCTTCTTTCCGACCACAGCAATCAGCCATTGGTTATTGTAGCCCTCTCGTATCGCACCTACACTTCTCCGCTTCCAAGCAAACACCTGGAAATATCCATCAGGAAGTAGGACGCGAGCACTTCAACATTGAGAAAGCGTCGCTCAAATTATCTGCACTTCCTGGCGGCCAGAGCAGCACAATTCCACAGAATATGTATCGCCGTCTCTTCACCACCCCCGCACGGCCTATACGCAGCTGTCACTTGTCAATAAGACGTAAAGCTATTTACTACATAAATGCTAATAATACCAACATTTCGAAGATTAATTATTACTTATGACAATTTATACTTGCAAAATATCTATACATATTTGTTTGTCAATATACATACATCAAACTCACTGTTATTAAGTAGTAATTTTAATTTATTTCTGAGAAACATGTTTTTTTTTTGTCGATTGATTATTTTTTCTATGAAACCAAATTATGCCTACTTTTTTTTTTGTAAAATCAAAATTTATTTTAATTAAGTATAGTTTAAATCATTGGATCAAGGTGAAAGAAATAAATCACGCATCTCTATTATAATTTACACAATTAATTTTATGTGGAGTTGTTCTTGCCAACTATAATTATGTTGATTTTATTTTCTATTTAAAAAAGAAACACTATACATACGAGTACTATGAAAATATTCACCTATATTCTGTTAGTGTCCTCATTTGAAGTAATGTGATATTGACGAAAAAGTGTTGGCTAATTTAAAAGTAATTGTTGTAGGAAAATGCGGTTGAATCGAAATTTCAGTCAAAATATAAATTATTTCGAAATTATGTTAGGAAGGAAATGTTGCATTTTAAAATTTTTGAAGAAATAAAGCATAATTTTGTACAAAAGTTCCATATGCAATTCATATGTATTACGCACAAAACCTGAATTATGGTCTAAAACAAATATATCCGCAGACAAGAAATTATGTGACATTGGAGTCACATTAATTGATCATTACTTACATAATATACCTTGATTTTTTATTTAAGAAAATTTATAAAAATTTATAGAAAACATAAATTTTTTTACCGAGATTTTATATTCTGTATATTTATATCACAAATATTATATAATTTCTTCAGATTATTCTAATACATTAAAAAAGATATATCACAAAAAATTAAATCTATTAGATCGATATAGAAAAAGGTTAATAAAAACAAAATCAATATATTTTCGAATTATAAAAATTCAAAAGTAATAATAAAGATGGCATAAAATAAAACCATATGAAAAAATATGGCATTCCGATTAACCAAAAAATAATGTTGCGACAATACGTCAAATTTTTCGGCAAATCTGAGTTGAAAAAAAAAAAAAGCCTAAACTGAAAATAGTGTGACCGTTTTGTAGCAAATGGGCTAAACTAATCACTTTACATAATTTTAAAATTAGATCCCGTCATCATCTCTCAAGAGGAATTAAAAATTTCTTATATTTATTCGCTATTGACCACTATTGAATGAAGTCATTTTTTATATTTAATTTTGTCGAATTTGTAACATTAGACATCTATCGGCAATAAAATCAACAATATTTTTGTAATTACCAAACATACATAAGTAGATTTATTTTAATAACACCACGATTAATTTGTTTTTTAATAATTTTAGACATTCGGATGTAAACATTGAAATATTCGAATTTAAGATCTCTTTTTTTCCAATGTTTTTTTTTATCTAGATATGCTAATAATATTAATTAAGATTTGAGAAAGAAGCTCACTCATCTTATATAAAGCAATATTTGGAAAAAAAAAACGAGGAATAGAACTAATAAAATTAATTATCAATTTTAACTGGTCTAACAACTTTTTTGTTTTTATTTTTTTTGTTGTTCTTAAACCTAAAAAAAAAATTTTTTTTAATGTTTTTTTAACATAAATCATTTCAAATATTTTATACTATATATAATAGCTTTTAATATTCAAAAAGAAAAAAACAATAGTGATTCATGCATGTATTTAGAACTCATACTGTGTGGTAGAAGAAAGAAAGGGTTAATTGATTGTCCGGCTAACAAGTTTTTTATTTTGATTTTTTTTTTTTTCGAAATTTATTATACTGTTTTAAATCTATATTAGGTACATATGTATTTGATTTTTTAGGTAGAACCGGTGGCGACTGTGACAAAAAATAAAACTAAAAACAAAAACAATAATTTAATTTTTTTTTTTTGTTTTCTACCTTCTTTTGTTTTCTGCGTTTTTACATAAGAAATCTGCGAATTTTTAAATGATTCGCGTTTTAAAATCAACATTTATAATATTTTATGTAAATTTCAATTTATTACAAAAAAAAAAAATTTAATCAAGTTCATTAAAAAAACAAACATAATTATGATAATTTTAAAGTGAGAGTAAATTGAATAGTTTTGCCGAATGACAGCAAAAATTTTCTGTGTGTCACAAAAAAAATCTGTGATTGACGTAATAATATTCAAATTTAATTTAAATTTACAAAAATTTCGAAATTGAATTTTATGGTTATTTTAAAATCGATTTTTTTTGTGTTAATAATAATTGATTTAAAAATTAAATTTATTCTGTCATAATATTTACAGATTTGTGTAAAGGATGACGAACTTTTATGACGTTAAATATGATTTTATAGAATTATTCAGGAGGATTTCTGTATAACTGAAATAATTGGGAAAAGAAGCTAGATATAAGTACGAAACAGTAAAATTTGACCTATATAAGGAGGCATAATTAATAGTATTTTGAGAATGTTAAGCTAATGAGAATAAGTTCGATTTATAATAAAAATTCATTTATAAGAATTTCAAATATCTCTTCTGATTTAGGCAACACTTTTCAAAATTTTTAAATTTTCTGGTGTCATGTACTGAATTTTCTAAT